TCTATTCTATTCCATTCCATTCCATTCCATTCCATTCCATTCCATTCCATTCCATTCCATAATCCTTTCCTGGAGTAGAGAAGCCGGATCTGGTGTTTTCTTTGGGTGCAAACTACCTGCTCAGCTCCCCTTTCTTCTCCCCAGGACTTCTTCCTCCCCCCTGTTATCCATCTTTGGCCAATTTCAAAGTTTCGGGTTCTTTGGCCGACGGACCCCCTGGGCCCACCCATTCCCTGCCTTCTCTTAGGTGATCCTTAAGGCCGGATTGGGACATGCCCCCCCCCCGGTGGGCCCGCACCGTGCCTCCCCGACACCCCCCCCCCCCCCCCCCCCGCCCCATTCCCATCCCCCCCTCCGGGGGGGAAGGCCCCCCCCCCCGGCCTTGGCTTTCAGCTCTCCATGAGGGTACGCCCCTCTCTCTTTCTCTCCCCCCACCCCGCAGACCTGTACTACTTCCTGCTGGCTCCGACTCTGTGCTACGAGCTGAACTTCCCTCGTTCCCCTCGGATCCGGAAGCGCTTCCTCCTGCGGAGGCTCTTCGAGATGGTGAGCCTCTTTCTGGGAAGGTCAGGGGGCTCAGGGGGCTCAGGAGGAGGGGGAGGCTGCTCCCCACGGGGCGGGGCTGCCTGCCGGAGGACAGTGAAGCCTGGGATTTGCAATGGTTCATTTAGTGGCCGTTCGAAGTTACGACCCTGGCAAAAGGGACTTGTGGCCGTTTTTCCCGCTTAACGACTGTCGGACCATCCCCACGTGGGCCACGTGATCAGAATTCAGAGGCTTGGAAAACTGGCTCGCATTTATGACAGTGGCCGTGTCCCCAGGGGCCATTGGATCCGCTTTTGCGACCTTGGTGACGAGCCCAAGTCAGTGGGGAGGCCAGATTTAGCTAAGAACCATGTTACTCGCTTAACAACGGAAGTGATTTGCTTAAGTGTGGCAAGAAAGGTCGTAAAGTGGAGCAAAGCTCACTTCCCCTTAGCCACGGGAAATCTGGGCTTCAGTTGTGGCCGGACCTGGAGGGGCTCCCTGTCCCCCTAGGTTGGCGGGAGGACCCCTGTCACCACCTCCGCAGGCGGCTCAGCTTAGGAGTGAGCTGCGCTTGGCCGCATTGGTCACTGGAGGTGCCTGGGTCATCTAGGCTGACCCCCGGTGGCATGAGGGGGTGTCAGCCGGGTCCTTCTGCAGCCAGAGCAGGTCGCTCCAGTCAGTTCTAGGCCACGGTGTCTGTGGAAATCGCCCGTTGCCCGTTGGGTTTAAGGAAACCTGCAAGCTGCGACCCCAGAGGGCCAGGGAGCGGCTGGGCTGAGCCAGGGCTGGCTCGGCTGGCTGCCCTCACCCTGGCTTCCCTCCTCTTCCTCCCCCAGCTCTTCTTCCTGCAGCTGCTGGTGGGGCTGATTCAGCAGGTAAGCGGGGTGATCTGGGCCATCGAGAGAGGGGGAGCCCCCTGGGGCAGGTTCGCCTCTCATGAGGATATCCGGCTCTTCCCGAAGCAGGAGATTTCTGGTGCACCCAAAACTGGGAGGGGGAGGCCCTGGCCGGGGGGGGGGGGGG